ATCTCCACATGATGCTCAGACTGTAGAAGGTATTAATAATTAACTGACTGATTCTATTTATTTTTGRTCTTGTTTGTAGAGTGATGTTTAATCTATTTACACACTTGTTTTAGTGAATTGATTAAGTGCAATTAATTTATTAATTCATACCTAAGAAAAGTGAAATGCTGCTAAGTTGCATACAGGTCCTACATTTGACACACTGATTGTACTGTTGTGCTGCTATTGTGCCACACCATCTACTGTGCTGAAATTTATCTTTTAAATTTATTCTTTTTTTAGTGTGCTTATGTGTAAACACACACACACACACACACACACACACATATATATATATATATACACACATACGTATATGGACATTTAAAAAGGGTGATAGGAATAAAATGTTGCAAATACAAATAAACAATCACAGCAAGCGCAGATCATCAAATACAGCCGTGCTCAGAGCCATAATGCACTCAGACACGCAAACACTTTCACAGAAACAAACCCAACACATGCCATATTCCGAAAGCCACAAGTCCAAGTGAACAGGGTTCCACACACAGGGAGCATTCAGCTTAACAACCACAACACAAATCACCGTCACACACTCTGATACCCATAACTGATGGTGGCACGATATCATGGTGCAGACAGAATAATAATCATTTTTGGTTTAATATGGGCCAAACAAATAAGCATGCAGCAAAATATTAGTAAACAATCACCCCGATTCTACTGGAGCTGAAGGACGAAACAAGAAAGAAAATGGAGAGATGGGAGCAAAAGGGAGAGGAAAGACAAAGGAAGATAAAAGAGAAATAGCAGAAAATTACAAAAACATGAAATCAAAAGAAAGAGACAACATATGGCATTTCTAATTGGCTTGTTATTATTATTTTTCTTTGTGACAAACTGAGATGTAATGGACATTATGCAAAATATGGGAACAACAAAAACATCTGTGGTTTGTTTATTGTAGATCCTTGAACAGTCGGACTTTTCCTGGTTTCAGAAATCCAAATTGCTCAACCTACAAATTAGATCTTCAACAAGCATTTATTTTCTAAATATTCAAAAACCTTTAACAAGACAAAAAGCTTACAGTCAATTAGAATGAAAGCTACATTTTGTGACAGTAATTTGTCATCATAAACATCAAAGATTTTAACTAATATCAGTATGTCCAGATGTGGTCAAATTGCTTTGACAAAAGTTACCAAACAGCCCTGTGACTACCTTTCACTTTTCAATTACATTGACAGATTACATGATTGAATACACCTGTGGTGMTAATTACAGGACACATCTTCGTTCATCATATCCCATGATCAAACAGTTTTTTTAATCTTTTCTAGGGGTACCCTTTGGCCAGCTTCATTAGCTTGTTTTTCTTTTAAATTATGTTGAACTGAAATTCTAGAGCAACAAATGCTTTTTTATTACTTTATTTTAAAATCTATTTTCAAGTCTTTGCAGTGATGTTTTGTGTTTCTGTTCTTGGTGTTTTTTCTTCTATAACAAAACATACAAACAACTTTGAATATGTCTGTATATGTGCAGCTGCATTTTCATCACTTCAGTTCCTGGTAAAGTATTTTACAAGCTAACAAAGCAGTTAAAAAAGCAGTTGTACTTGAAATATTGGCCTTTTTATATGAAGGTAATTACAGATGGGATTTGTGGAATCAGATCCTAAAACATGATTTGTTCATGTCTTAATAATTAAAACATTTTGTAATTTATACATTTTTACATACATAGCATATAACACTTAAAAAAGGACATGACATTTAGTAGTTATGTAGCACATTGACTCAAAGCATACGAGACAAGCTGTTGTGTCAGTGAAACAATGACTGTGAATGAGTGATGTGGATCAGAACAGAGGATCCATGCATGAAACTTTAAACAGGCATGATCATAAAAAGCAGAGAATAGTGTGTGTGTGTGTGTGTGTGTGTGTGTGTGTGTGTGTGTGTGTGTGTGT